ACAGTGTTTCGGTGGGATATTCTCACCCATTGCAATTTTCTTAAATCCTGGTTGTTTTTGCACGTTTAGCGATGCGGCAAACTCTGGTTTTTGGTGCGGGGATCCCAAACATTGCTTACCTGACTTTTTAAAGATGCTAGGTTTGGCCCTTTCCCAAATCTACACACGTAGTTATTTCTGGAATAATTTGAGCGAATTTGATTCACTTTTCAATCAACATGACCATTCCGCAGCAATCAGCAGCTCCATTCTTGGTCAAACGGGTTTCGGACCAGGTTTCCTTCATTCACCCCACCACGCTGCTTCGTCGCTTGTTTTTTTTTGCTCTCGTCTCAATTTGTACGGGGTTAGAATGCAGAAAAACGTCTTTGAACGGGAACACCGGCTACGCAGGGTATCTAACGACCCATTGACCGTCTTTTCTAAGAAAGTGGATATTGTCTAATGAGATTTGCAAGGAAAGCGCGAAACGCGATACAGGAGCGCTTGATTCCTTTCTCGAAGGCTGCGTACAAGGAAATCAACAGGAAGCAAAGGCCGCGAGGAAAATGGTGATGAGGAAACTGCCTGCACGGTTACCATGGAAATTTTAGCGCTGTACTAGATTTTACTGACACAGTTTAACAGCCAATTAGACAGAGATTCAGAGAATAAGACACGCTATATATCGATTATAACGACACAAACCACCTCAGTGCTTGTCGTGTCAGTTCTGATCGTTATTCTTGGTAAGACAAGTACACACAGGACTTACAAAGCGAGGAAAAAACACAAAACAAAGAACAGTGCAGCCAAAGTACGTCAGTAAGTTAGAACATTTGTATTAGCTACGTACTATCTACTGTTTTTTGCTTTGGAGATTTAATTTTGGGATTGCAGGTCTCGTTGTGGCGCTAATCAGAGCCAAGGTAAGCGTTTCAAGTGGCGGCTGCAATCTTTTAAACAGTCATGTATCCCGGCCACTAGCAGTGATATCCAACATGCTCTTCTAACCAAATCAGTCAGCTCATTTCTTTTCCCACTGATCTCATTTTTGTCTCTCCTAAAACTTCTGCTTACAGCCAGCTGTCATTGTTGTGTTGTAGATGCACTAACAACATACAAATAAAATGAACCCCGGCGCGGAGAGAGAAAAGGATAAAAACAAATTGGCTAAATCTGGCGAAGTCCAACACGATGGAATTTAAATCTTGCATTTGTATTACCATTCCCCTGCAATAATATAAACACCGAAAACAAAGTTTTTCCTCATGATCAGGAAATACCGGACCCTGTGTGGTGTGGAAAGTGACACAAATGTAGAAAGTTATCTTGCATTGCAGATGACATGAGCTATTAAATAAAGCTAATTTTTTAAAGAGTGAAATATACTGAAAAAACATTTGTTCATCCAGACCGAGCAGCAACGCCCAGGAAATCAATGGTGGCCAAAGACATTTTGCTAGCCCAGTGTCCGCTGTACAACTGGTGTACATAAATGGCTATATCTACCACTAGAAAAGTATAAATGAAGTACAATATCGATCGACAATCTGTGGTTGCTGCAGCGAAAACTTAGCGAATTTAGTAATTTCCTGAAAATACCTGATTCGAGTACTTACCATAGCTTTAAAAACTGGCTGAGAAGCTCCACTGATATCTGCGAACAGCCTACAAACAAACAAATAGTAAATTCTAATTGAAAGTCGCTAAATCCTAGAGCTTCTTAGAAAGATAAAATGGTTTAAAATAGTTGGATCTCGTTGCCGTTAAAAATAGGAGCTGTCATTTAACCCTTCGAAAATACTTAAGCATTTTGTTTAGTCATTTTAAAAATTTTAAAACACTTTATTGCTATATATGTATTGAAGGAGAGAAAAAAGCTGGAAACTGAAAAACATTGAGCTATCTCGTAGAACACGACTAGCGACATTTTTCTGAGCTTGATTATTTCCGCGATGAATGTACATTTTTTCATTCATCTCACAGGAAATTACATTCATTTCGCGTAATTGATCTGGAATTTACTGAGTCACTGATGAATGAAATTGCGTTCTTTCCGGGATAGCCTGGTCCAGGCTATCGGTTAGTGGGGACGATCGAAAATAGCGGGCTGGCAACGAGCGGGGTCTGTATGGTTGTATTAAAGTAGACTTATTTCTATGAAAGTGAGAACGTTTTTATTTGTTGTTTTTGTTGTTTAACAGGAAAGTATGANGCCCTCCTTTAAATCTACACACGTGTATTTCATTTGTGAAATTCTGTCGCTTTCGACAAATGAATGTTCTAGTTGGAGATTCTCGTCCATGTTTATTTTTCTCTCGCGCGTTTTCGTGCGTTTAGCGATGCGGCACACTCGTGGTTTTGGTGTGTGGATCCCAAACTATGCTTACGGGGCTCTTTAAAAATGCTAGTTTTGGCTCTTGCCTAAAGTGTATTTCACTTGTGGAAGTCTATCGATTTAAACAGTGCTTGGGTGAATATTTTTGCCCATGTTAATTTACTTTTCTCTTGTCTGTTCGCGCGCGTTTAGCTATGCGGCACACTCGCACTTTTGGTGTCGGGATCCCAATCTATGCTTACTGGGCTTTTTAAAGATGCTAGTTTTAGCCCTCTCTTAAATTTACACGTGTACTTTTTACTTGTGGGAGTCTTTCGATTTGGACAGTGCTTAGGTTGGAGATTCTCGCCCATGTATATTTTCTTTTTTCTCGTGTGGTTTCGCGCGATTAGCAATGCTGCCCACTTTCGTTTTTGGTGTCGGGATCCCAAACTTTACTTTCCGGGCTTTTTCAAGGTGCTAGTTTTGGCCCTCCCTTAAATTTACATATTTTTAGTTTTTTACTTGTGGAAGTCTTTCGATTTTGACAGTGCTTTAGTTGGATAATCTCGCCCATTCCAATTTGCTTTTCTCCCGCGTGTTCTTGCACGTTTAGCGATGCGGCACACTCACGTTTTTGGTGCGGGGATCCCAAACATTGCTTGCCTTTGACCTTGGCTAGTTTTGGCCCTTTCCCAAATCTACACACATAGTTATTTCTGGAATAATTTAAGGGAATTTGATGCACTTTTCAATCAACATGACCATTCCGCACAAATCAGCAGCTCCATTCATGGGCAAACGGGTTTCGGGCCAGTTTTCCTTCACTCACCCCACCACGCTGCTTTGTCGCTATTTTTTTTTGCTCTCGTCCCAATTTGCACGCGGCTAGAACGCGGAAGAAGGTCTTTGAAAGGGAACACTTGCTACGCAGGCTATCTAAGGACCCATTGACTGTCTTTTCTAAGAAAGTGGATATTGTCTAATGAGATTTGCCGGGAAAGCGCGAAGCGCGATACACGAGCGCTTGATTCCTTCCTCGAAGGCTGCGTACAAGGAAATCAACAGGAAGCAAAGGCCGCGAGGAAAATGGTGAGGAGGAAACTGCCTGCACGGCTACCATGGAAATTTTAGCGCTGTACTAGATTTTATTAACACAGTTTAACAGCCAATTAGACAGAGATTCAGAGAATAAGACAGCTACATATCGATTATAACGACACAAACCACCTCAGTGCTTGTCGTGTCAGTACTGATCGTTATCCTTGGTAAGACAAGTACACACAGGACTTACAAAGCGAGGAAAGAACACAAAACAACGAACAGTGCAGCCAAAGTGCGTCAGTAAGTTAGAACATTTGTATTAGCTACGTTCTATCTACTGGTTTTTGCTTTGAAGATTTAATTTTGGGATTGCAGGTCTCGTTGTGAGCGCTAATCAGAGCCAAGGTAAGCGTTTCAAGTGGCGGCTGCAATCTTTTAAACAGTCATGTATCCCGGCCACTAGCAGTGATATCCAACATGCTCTTCTAACCAAATCAGTCAGCTCATTTCTTTTCCCACTGATCTCATTTTTGTCTCTCCTAAAACTTCTGCTTACAGCCAGCTGTCATTGTTGTGTTGTAGATGCACTAACAACATACAAATAAAATGAACCCCGGCGCGGAGAGAGAAAAGGATAAAAACAAATTGGCTAAATCTGGCGAAGTCCAACACGATGGAATTTAAATCTTGCATTTGTATTACCATTCCCCTGCAATAATATAAACACCGAAAACAAAGTTTTTCCTCATGATCAGGAAATACCGGACCCTGTGTGGTGTGGAAAGTGACACAAATGTAGAAAGTTATCTTGCATTGCAGATGACATGAGCTATTAAATAAAGCTAATTTTTTAAAGAGTGAAATATACTGAAAAAACATTTGTTCATCCAGACCGAGCAGCAACGCCCAGGAAATCAATGGTGGCCAAAGACATTTTGCTAGCCCAGTGTCCGCTGTACAACTGGTGTACATAAATGGCTATATCTACCACTAGAAAAGTATAAATGAAGTACAATATCGATCGACAATCTGTGGTTGCTGCAGCGAAAACTTAGCGAATTTAGTAATTTCCTGAAAATACCTGATTCGAGTACTTACCATAGCTTTAAAAACTGGCTGAGAAGCTCCACTGATATCTGCGAACAGCCTACAAACAAACAAATAGTAAATTCTAATTGAAAGTCGCTAAATCCTAGAGCTTCTTAGAAAGATAAAATGGTTTAAAATAGTTGGATCTCGTTGCCGTTAAAAATAGGAGC